AATCAAAGCAGTCTTTGCACGTCTTTCACGAATGATCAGTGTCTATGTATAGATAGGAGTAGTTGCCGGATTTTCGTTTGATATTTTCTGTGCTTCCCTTATATGTTGCTTTATGCCATACGAGCTTTTGCACTGTCCATAAAATTTATTAAAAACATAAAATTCCTATGCAATTGGATGTAATTCTATGGAAATTCATTAACGTATGGGATATACGTTTTTAGAAAAAATTTGCCTTGAAATTCCCACTCGATTTTGATATCTAATCTACTGGCCATGACAACAAACAAATATTGGTTTGTTTTTATTGATATATTGAGACAAAATTATTTAGGAAGTGTAAAAGTGTTATCCCTTGTAAATAATTTGCAGTATCATCATTTTAAAGTGTCTTGTCAGAAAGGCTACTAAGAAAATATTGGGTAGAAATGCTTGGAAGACAATAAAAATATAGAAAGTATACAAAATACATACAGATAGACCTCGAAAAAAACGTTGCCGAGATTGGACACGAATGCTTCCTCCTCTGTTCATTATCTTACACAAGGATATTGTTACGTCATAATATTTAATTAACTATTATTTACCATTTAACTATATTTTAAGCTTTTTAAGATGCTTTCAGAAGAAATGCATTTAGATAAAAATGCAGTTTGTAATAATCCATGTCATTATATTGATTTTACACCTCTAGTATTAAAAATTATCAAAAGGAAGTTAACTTTACTTAACAAGGGAAATTTGTTACAGAGTTTTTATGTTTAATTACTATTTAACTGGGAATAAGCCACAATTAAAGATAAAATACGTTTATTGACGTTTCAATTTCCACTTCGGAAATCGTTCTCAAAATACAAAACAGTAAATTAACCAAATTTTGTTTTTTGTTACATAGTGAACAATTTTTCTAATAATTTAATTTTATATGACTCAATTATATTGGCAATTCGGACATACATTATGCATTTTAAAGTAGACGACTTTAAAATGATATTGCCAATATTGTTGAGTTGCGCTCCTGGGACGACTTTACTTGTAAGATGGTTCATTCGATTACATGAATTCAACTTTAACTTGAGAATATCCGTCAGAAAAAATCATAGCATGTAATTCGTCTTTAAAAAGACAAACACATGACATGATGACAGTAAAATTCTCCTGTTAGTGATTCCATAGTAAATTATGAGGAAAAACCAGGAAAAAAACCTCATAATACTATCCCGACATGGTAAGTATTTGTTCGTGCATTTAGTTTACCTTCAATAAACACCAAAATTCTGATTTTATATGTTTCGTTATTTAAAAAACTTAAATGATGTATCCTCTATATGTTACTGACTTACTAATACTGGTATTTTCTTATTAATAGCTTCCTCTTTCAATATTGGTAACCAAATCCTACTACATTCTGCCGAGGAAATTGCTACACAATTGGCCTCATTTAGCATAATTAAAGCCGCTTCTTTGATTTTTCTTTTTTTACCATCCGTTTCTTTTAGGACTACATTTGAATTTTTCCATTGAACCCTATGTTCATTATCCCATGCGTGTTTACAATTGTCAATATAAATGAGTCAGATAAAATTAAATTATTAGAAGAATTGTTCACTATGTAACAAAAAACAAAATTTGTTTAACTTACTGTTTGTATTTTGATAACGATTTAGCTTCGAACGAAATAGCTTCAGAACAATATTGTTTTTAAGTTTGGTGAAAAATTTTCTGAAAATTACTTAGAAAGTCAACACAAGCTTATTTTTATTAATTTCCCTTATCAGAATAATAAAATAAGAATCTTTTTGAGTTGATTTTAAAGTAAAAAAACATTCATGATGTTCCAAGAGAAGATAACTCACCAAATGCTAGTCTAGCTCGCCCAACAGAAGAATTTATAGTCATTATTATTTCGAATCGTTTATGAAAGTACTGGTGAAGCCAAAAATTATCAGCAACAAAAACAAATTTTTAGAAATTTGTAAAGTGGCCCTAAGCATAATTCAAAGGAAGATGAAACAAGTCTTGACCACATTGGATTTCATTAAGAGCGATGGTCGGCTAATAGTTGTGGACTAGGTTTGTTGATTTAAGGAGGTATATTATTACTATTTAAGTTAAAATAAAAATTCTTTCATTTGCTAATTAAGTCTCTTTGCCAATATATTTCACAAAACTTTCCAGTACCCAGTACGATATAAACTAAAAACGTGATTATAAAAGATCATTCGGTAAAACAAATGTTACTAAATCTAATTTCATTCGAAAATACAGCAGTATGTAACAACGCTTATGAATTAAAAATAGAAAAAATTTAAAAATTTATTAAGTCTAGATTGATTTTTTATTTAAATTTTTTTCTTCAAAATATTTAAAAGTGTATCTCTGGTTTAATGTCTAAACATAGTGTATGATTTTATAAATTTATTTCTTTATCATAGGTTAATTTATTCGTTTTTGGACATACGCATCTGATTATCCAATTAGTATTTATCTAGATATCGAGTTCTGTAATCATTTACCTTTTTATGGGATTTGTCTTAAGATCTTTAATTTATTTTGCCCTCCTAGACTAGAAGCTATTTGGCCTCCAATCTTTTTGTTCTTATGATAGCTGATACACTTATTATCAACTTTATCAATGTCTCGTCGATGATCAAACTATATATCATATACATTTTCCTGTAATTTATATTACTTGTTTTTACTTTGATAGAAGATAGGAAAACAAACAGCAATTGTCACAAACCATAACCACTGGTTCAATGTATAATAAAGCAGTGCAAATCCTGGCTATGCAGATAATATCAATATGGTTGCAAGAACGGAAAACGCTGTACGAGAGGCGTATGTAGCATTAAAACAATCAGCTACAAAAATGGGTTTAATAATGATTATCAACAAAACAAAGTATATGAAAATAAGTACGCAACAACAAATCCTATGACCACTTGTTAAAGAAAACGAATTTGTGTACCTGGGAGCGCTCCTTAACACTGAAATTGCAAGGCTATTAATCAATGCTATTTCTTCTCCTTTAATCCACAATTATATCCAGAAATACAAAAATAAAACTCCACAAGACAATAATATGCTGTCCTAACATATGATTCAGAGACCTAGACTCTAACAAAAAATAATGAAAACGTGTTAGGATGTTTTAAAAGAAAAGTACTAAGGCGAATCTATGGAGTAGTGAATGAAAATGGGGTGTGGGGAAGACAATACAACTTTGAACTTTATAGACTGTACCAGGAACCTGATGTCGTAAAACATATTAAGATAGGACGTCTGAGGTTGATAGGGCATGTAATGCGGATGGAACAAAATGACCCAGCTAAAACAACGCTCCTTGATAGACTCATTGATCAGAGAAGAAAAGGAAGACCCAGAACAAGGTTTCTTGATAACGTCGATGAAGACATTCAACTAAGTCACTACATGTAAAAATCTACATTTTTAGTGGGTATGTCCTTTGTTTTTAATATTATTTTAATTGTGACGTCTACTTGTAAGTGCCGAATTTTTACATGCTTGTAAATATTACTTCTTGAAAAAGGCATGGATTTCCTGCCGAAACGTCGAAAAAAATATATAAAAATGTCTTAGTATCAAATTAATTTTTTTATGAACCTAAGCCCAAGAAAATCCACTAAAAAATATATATTAAGCTTCAAAAACTCAACCTATATATATATATATATATATATATATATATATATATATATATATATATATATATATATATATATATATGTGTGTGTGTGTGTGTGTGTGTGTGTAGCATTATTCTCTGACACCACATCTCACTTTAAGATGGTAAATAATTATTTTTAATATAAACGTGTTAACACCATAATATTATAACTTGACCACACATGGTGCGCTGGTCATTTCAATTATACTTTTAATCTGATAGTCTGGGTCTAGGTCTTGCATAATAATGCTTCCAAGGTATTTGGACATTTTCTATTTGTGCTTCATTCAATTATATTATCTTGCTCCATAGACTAAATATTATCAACTTAGTTCTAGCTATATTTAAGTTTAGCCCAGATCGTTCTCCGTTTGTATTAATACTGTCCCCTCTATGGTGTCAGACAAAACCACAGCATTGTCTTTATATCCAATTGTAATGAATAGCACTCCATATCTTATAGCCCAAATCTGTGAGATCATCTACTGCTGCCTTAAATAGGTAAATTAGGATATGGGTTGAATAGCAGAGGCGATAATATCTAAGCATGTTGAACGTCTCGCTGTATATTTTCCTCTTACTTTCCTCTTCGTATCCGTTTTTCCTTACCTGAAATGAAATATAAAATAAATTACTGACTATCGATTTAAGAAAGTGTGCGAATTGCCCTATCTAGTTAAAAGCTAAAATAACAAAATGTAATAAAATTCCAATCTAACAAAGACTAACCTATTTAAGAATTAATAAACAAGCTAAGGGATATAATATTATAAAACGGGGACCAAAACTACAAAGCAATCTATGATTGTGCATTACTAAGAATGTAGTAATATCAAAATATGTGTCAAAGAAAAGGAAAATAAGAATGTAAAATATAGGAATTAGACCGACATTAACATGCAAATATAAAACCTGAGTATTAGGAATATTGAGAAATAGGAGAAAATGACAAATAATGGTATCAATTTTAAGAAGCTACATAATGAATGATGAAAATGGACAATATCTGGAAATAAACGATCAATACTAGGAAATAATCTTTTTATCTGATAATTAAATTTTTTTACTAAGATACAATTGATGACGTCACCAAATAAATTGGTTTAAACTCATCAATCATTTATATTTAACGATGATGTTTAGTAAAAACTATATTAAAATTAAATTCAATAAAACGTAAAAGCATTATTGTATATTCATATAATTGACAGTTTATAAACATAAAGACAATGTAGACAATAAATATAAATATTGATTTACTTAACTTGTGTGTTTTTTGTAATATCTAATTTTATTTTATCCTTTTCAGAACCATCTCATTCACTGTCAACGCCAATCTTCAAATTTGAGAACACATTTGTCGATTCTTCGTCTGTTACTCACACGCGCCAAAAAAGACGAATATTTTTCATACCGTTCGCCAAACCGTTAAAAGGGTAAGTGAAAAACTATTTTACTAATATTTTATATAATAAATTCCGGCAAACAAAAATTTCGAGTTAGTTCAGTGAAATAAGTGACTATTAAATAAATATGTATGTAGGTTGGCATTATTCCAGTCATGCCATAGCAAGTTTCTAAGTTCCAATACATTAGTTAGAGCTGCAGGTGTACGTCTTTGGATATGTCGTTTAACTTGTCCAACCGACTAATGACTATCTCATTGAGACAATAATCATCTATCGCTACCTCTTTATGTGAGTTATCTCGCAATGAAATATCATGTTCACTCTCACTGGGTAAGAAAGGTATAAAATATTGTGGAATTTTCACAACGTAACTGTAGTTTTCTAAATTGTTATTTTAAATAAAGTTTAGCACTCTCCAACTTATATGAGTATTATCTCAAATACAGATCCATTTCCAAATCGAAATCGCTACTGAATATAAACTGATCTATTGATATCACTGTTACTGATAAAATAGATTTTACTTAAAAACATTACATTGCTCCAATCTTTATTATTCCATGTTATATGATATTATAGTTGGATCTCAAGTTATATTATTAAACAGATTTATAGTATGGTAAATTTTAACCAGTCGTCCGTGGTAGAAGAATAATGTAAGTCTTTTATATGTATTTTTGTTATCTAAATTGAAATAGGACTCACATATGCAAGACAATTTTTTAAGCAAGTACCTGTGGGTTTCCATCGCAAACTTTTATTTATATTTTTATCTAGCGTATGGAATTTTGACACATTAATCTATAAAGATTACAATAAATAAGCAAATTAACCTTATATCAAAAAAGTTAATCATCTTTAATTTATAGCCAAACATCGAGATTATGTCGATACTCGCACGCCACAGGCAGGAAATCTTTTGACTGCCCTCGTAGAACCGGTAGTGGCACATCTTTATAAGATTGATGGATTTCACCTCACCGCAGCTGCATGATGTAGATGTTAGTTAACCGCAACTGTGCAACATATGCACATAGACCATGTTGAGTTCTTATGCGGTTAAGGTGCATCATATCTCACGTGGTGGTCAAATCCAGGAGATCTCTTTTTGATGCAAGATATAATTGTATTTGGTTGGTTTGCCGATCATTAATAAGTCCATTTGTTATTCGCATTAAACACGATGGCTGCAGCAGTTCCTGCGGTTTGTATTAGAGATATTCTTGAGCGCAGTCTTTTGGTTGCATCTTCTATATAGTTATATATTGTCAGCATTAGGTTGTTAAAAATCTTTTTATATTCTTTGGTCAGAAGATGGTTGTGAAGGTATGGTGATTGAATATGGTGTTTTTTTATTTATACTTTGATTACTACAGCGATTATTCTTATAAAACGTGCAATAATCAATCGTAAATCATGCGCAATATTCAGTTACAGCTCAGCTTCTAAATTATGTTATTTCTGGAAGATCATTGGCAGCTTTACTTAAATTTTACTTAAACAGTAACTTTCTGTCCGAAGTTACGCCTAGGTATTTTGAGTATTTATTGTGGTTAAGTCGTGTATTATCAAAGACAATGAGTAGGCACGGTGGGTGGAAGTCTCAATATTTTAGAGTCTTCCCGTAATTTCTAGGTCATCCGTCAGAATCTCTTTAGCATCTTCTATGGATTCTGTTTGTATTAATAAAGGCTAGTTATTGGAATAGCCAAAACCAAAAAGCCTGTAAGAGTCCAAAGACGATTTATAAACATCTTGAGGGTGTTTATTTCTGTTTCCATAATTACTTGAAATATTTCGTAGATAAGCAGAAACAGCTTCTATGTAATTAAAAACACATACCTTTTTATCATTGCAATCTTGATTTGGTATAAAACCTGCTTATTCGATTTGAATTGCGTTGATAATTATTGAGATTATTCTGTTAACAACTATTTTTCAAGTAGTTTATAAGGTATAGACAATAGAGGAATTGGTCAATAGTTTTTAAGTAGTCACCTGGTTTATCCAGTTTAAGTAGTGCTAAAACTCTTGAATATTTAAATAAATGATGTTCTCAATGATGGTCTTAATCAGGTTTGTGAATAAATGGTCTAGCCAGGTTTTTGTTTATTTTCCGCAATTGAGCATGCGTTTGGGGTGGATGCAGTCAAAACCTAAGGATTTTCCAAACGTCTTGAAGGGGCGGTCCCTATTTATTTACTTCTAAAAGAACAAGCATATTTGGTCTTGACAGATTTCTATTACAAGGTTTTTAAACATTTCTTTATGTCTCGTGTGTGAGCTTTATCTCTGGTCGCTCTTGATGTCGCGTCATCACCTTATAAGATGCCATTGAGTTTTGGTTTATAACTGCATTCTTTTAAAAGCTTTTATCATGTTCAATTTGCCTTATTAGGGCCCAAGCTTTCTAATTTGATTTTTGAAAGTTTAGTTTTTTTACTATCTTTAACTTTTATCAACCTATAAGAGACGATTGTCTCTTTGTGTCATGATTTTCACGTGGTTTATTTATTAATTAATCTGCTTAAATTGTTGATAAATTTTGTAAATGTTGATTGTTACCACAAAATATTGCAATTTCCCGTTAGTACTAACCAGCTTTTAATAATATTACAACTCCTGTGAAAATTATAAGGTCCAAAAATATTTTGATTTGTTAACTGGATACTAGAAATTATTCTTAAATAGCCTAATTAAAAAAAAATGAACACACGAACCCTGTACCATTAAACAGGGGAGTCAAACAGGGAGATACTTTATCACCCAAACTGTTCACCTTAGTTTTGGAGGACGTTTTTAAAAACCTAAATTGGAAATATAAGGGAATAAACATCAATGGCCGCTACCTCAGTAATCTACGATTTGCAGATGACATAATCCTGATAGCTACTGACTTGCAAGAAATGCAAACCATGCTTGTAGAACTTCATACCGAATCTTCTAAAATAGGACTGAAAATGAATTTAAACAAAACAAAAGTCATGCACTCCGAAGACACCGTGACAATAATAAACGATAAAGTTATAGAAAAAGTTGAAGAATATATATACTTGGGACAAAAAATAATCCTAAATAGGGAAATTCAGACTGAAGAAATAAAAAGAAGAAGAAAGTTAGCTTGGGCAGCATTCGGTAAACTGAACTATATACTCAGAAATCAACAAATTCAATTACATCTTAGATCTAAAGTTTTTGATGCATGCATTATTCCGATATTAACTTATGCGGCACAAACATGGACAATCACAAAAAAGAATATGAATATACTTAGAGTCACTCAACACGCGATGGAAAGAGCACTGCTAGGTATATCACTTAAGGACAAGAAAACAAACACATGGATAAGACAGAAAACCAAAGTCACCGATGTGGTGCAAAAAGCATTAAAGCTGAAATGGGAATACGCTGGACATGTAGCTAGGAGCGATCTAAACAAATGGCACAGATCAATTTTAACCTGGAGACCATACCAACACAAAAGACCCAGAGGCAGACCTCCTATGAGATGGACAGATGATCTGAAAAGGACTGCCGGGAAAAATTGGCTACAAGTAGCGTACAATAAAAACCAATGGAAAGGAAGACTTGAAGAGGCTTATGTTCAGATGTGGACGTGAATGGCTAGACGAAGAAGAAGAAGAAGAAGAAGAAGAAGAAGAAGAAGAAGAAGAAGAAGAAGCTTAATTAAAAAAAGACAATCAATCAGATTAAAAAAAAAAGAAAGTACCTCAACCAAACTCTTAGTAGCGTGAACATTCGGTTCATGCCAGTAAAATGGTAATAGAATTTAGTGAAACATTAGTGTAGGTGACTTCTTTTTTACAGTTTTTATAACTTCAAACTAACGATAAGATTTTAAACGTATAATTTTGTGAACACTTACAAAAATTTTTTATTACTTATTTTAAAGAAGTGAAAGTATAATAGATTTTTTATTAAAGTGTATTTTATTTAAATATATTATTGAAGCTCACTATACTTTTACATAACATAACAACAAATCGGCATATCTATGTTTTGTAGACCTTAAGAAGACATTTCTTCTTCTTCTTTAAATGCCATCTCCGCGATGAAGGTTGACAATCTTCATGGCTCTTTTGACCTTTCAAAAACCAAACCACTTTCTCAGGTTCTTCAACCACGAAACGCGTCTTCTTCCTACACTTCTTCTACGCTCTATTTTTTCTTGAATTATGAGTCTCAAGATATTGAATCTTTTGCCTCTCATTACATGTCCGAGATATTGTAATTTCCTTTCTTTTATTGTATTTGCCATTTCCCTCTCTGTGCCTACTCTCCTTAACAGTTCTGCATTCGTGGCTCCATCTACCCACGAAATCCTTAACAATCTTCTAAATGTCCACATTTCAAACGCGTTAAGTTCATTTATTGTATTCCGGTTTAATGTCCTTGATTCAGCTCCACAGTAGAGTGAACTATGTAGTTTAATTAGTCTTTTTTTGAGGGCCAATGTCAAATCTTTGGTACATAAAATCATTTTCATTTTCACCAAGTTGGCACGTGATTTTTTAATTCTAACTCTTATCTCTGTAGTATAATCGTTATTTCTTGTTACGAGGATAGATTGATATTAAACTAGCCTTTGATAGATGGCGCTACTTGATACCGAATTGGTTTCGGTATTAACATTTGCCATTCATGACATGACGTCTGTCAAAATTTTATGTTTTAAAAACAATTAGTTTGGTTTTTACAGCCGTCAAAAGCAAGCAAATTTTGTGTTTTCGGAGAAATGGAAAAGTCAATTATCGTTCAGTGATTAAGTTCCTCCACAAAAAGGGTAAAACGAAGGTGCAAATGAAAGCCGACCTGGACGAAGTTTATGGTGTGGTTACACCTTCGTTAGCAACAGTAAAATTTTGAAAAGCTGAATTTGTTCGTGTACGAGTGTTTTTGATGATGAGCGTCCCGGGAGGCCAAATGAAGTCACCACGCCGGAAATGATTAACAAAGTCCATGACATGATTATGGCAGATCGTCGAGTTAATTAATAAACGAGATCCTAAACATTTCCTACGAATGCGTATACAACATCATTCACCATCATTTGGACATGAAAAAGCTACCTGCGCGATGAGTGCTGCGTTTGCTGAGAATCGATCAAATACAAAAACGTGTGACTACTTTGAAGACGCTTTTAGCGATAATACGGCGCGATCTGAAGGTTTTTTTGCCGATTTATCACCGTTGATGAAACCTGGGTGCATTATTATACACCAGAAACCAAAGTACAGTCGAAACAGCAGCGCAAACACGGCGAAGCGACTGTTTTCTGGGATGCGAAGGGCATTATCTACATCGACTACTTGGAAAAAGGAAAAAGAGTCAATGGTAAGTACTACACAGCATAACTGGATCGATTCGATGCCGAATTGCATCTAAAACGCCCCGGTTTGGATCGCAAAAAAGTGCTTTTTCACCAAGACAATGCACATGTTCACCGATCGGCCATCGACATGGCAAAATAACACGAATCGGTCTATGAATTGGGTGAACACCCACCGTATTTCCCAGATCTTGTCGCCGAAAAAAAAAATGCCTCGGAGGACGCCGTTTCGCAACAAATGATAAAGTCGTCGCTGAACTTCGGCTAATTTTGAGGAGCTCAACCAAAAGTACTATTCGGATGGGATAAAAAAATTAGATCATCGTCTTACTAAGTGTATCGAGCTAAAAGGAGACTATGTTAAGAAATAAATCGATTTAATTACAAAAAACTCGTTTTTTCTATCAAAGGCTAGTTTTATATCAATCCACCCTCGTATTATCGTTCCCAAGTAAGTATATCTTTTTACTCCCTCAATCTGCTGGCCGTCTACCGCTAATATTTCATTTGTATTGTTGTTCTTGCTAATTTTCATGAATTTGATTTTTTTTGATGTTGAGAGAGAGTTCGTATTCTCCACTATATTTTAATATTTTGGCCGATATTTTTAAAATAATTTTTTATCTTAATATAAGAAGGCATTTGGCAGAATAAAATTAAAGGACGTTATCTACTTATTGTACGAAAGAGAGTTGCCTCTAGGAATAATCAAGACGACCAAAAATATCTACCAAAACGATACAATAAAAATAAAAGTAGAAGAATAACTAACCGACCCTATTAAAGCTGGCAATGAGATAAAACAGGAAGATTTCCTGAGTGCTCTATTGTTCAACTTGATTAGGAAAGAAATAAGAAAAAATTAAGAACTAAAAAAAGATGCCAAATGGGAGAAAAATAACTTAAACTAATCTGCTATGCAGAAGACGCAATACTATACTCTCTAGTTAGGATAACTAAACTAAAGTTAGGATAATTTACAACAATTTAATATAACCGCCAGAAAATTTAACATATTAATTTCCCCAAAAAAGACAATATGCATGGTTATAACAGCAAATTCGCTAAGATGTAAAATTGGAGCTGGAACGTCAGATAATAGAACTAATGATGGAGTTTAAATATCTAGGCATGACATTATATAGCTACGGAAAGCTCAAAACTAAAGTGGACAAATCAAGTAAGTAGAGCAAACAGAGCCGCAGGTTACTTAAAAGGCAGAATTTACAAAACAGCCATCAGACCAATAACGACGCGGCAGAAACAGGAATGACACAGAGAGGACCAATTAGAAAAATTAATGGTAAGACACTAAAGACACTATGGGACAGAGCTAAAAGTACAGATATACGACGTAGATGCAAGGCCGATAACATCAAGGACTGGGTAATAAATAGAAGAGTAGAAGGGAACGATTATATAAGCAAAATGACAACAAATAAAGTAGTAGAGTCAAACACATGACAAATTTACTGACAAACAGGCAGAGTCATGTTTATATAATAAGAAGAAGAAGGAAGAAGAAAAAGAAAAACAAGAGTATACTTTTAGAGATATTAAACAAAAAATATAAAGTAATTTGTCTATTTTGAACTAAATAATCTCAAAACATGCATTTGAGACTTGTTAACTACTTAAAGAAAGAATGGTATTTACATCTTCTCCATTCTCTCCATGATTTGTCATAAGTGGTTACAAAAACATATCAGTTTTTTTATTCGTTAACTACTGCTTTACGTATCAAAAGTTAAGAACTTAAAATTTATTTTTGAGCAAAGGGTGTAGAGAAAATACTAAGTACCTAGTCATGTCAATATAGCACCTGATGTATCAGGGCATCGATTTGGATATTTAACAAATCACTTGATTAAACCGATTCTGGATTTTTTTTTGTAGTGAACAATAATTTGTTATTGATGAATTTATGGAAAATTGTGGATACTGAATCTATTGACCTCCTTTTGGATCTATTCAATACCATTATATAGAAAAGGTATAATACCTAAAGAATGGCTCCAATCGATATTTATACTGATTTCCAAAAAGAAAATCTGAAAATATTATGGATGGATCATAAAACAAACGCACAAGTTCTTGAACAACTAGGAAAACAAGGCAGAGTTTTAAATTCGATAAAAATCAGGAAGGGTAGAATAGTTGAGGCACATCATGAAAGGGGAAAAATATGAAATACTAAGGAATATAATGCAGAGCAATATCAAAGGTTGAAGAAGCGTAGGAAGACACATAGGAAGACGTACATTCTCGAGGCTACGTAATCTCCGTGGATGGTTTGGATGCAGTTCAATTGAACTAATCAGGCGCGTAACCAACAAAATTATAATTGCTAGAATAATAATTTCTAATCTCCGATAGGAGAGGAACTTGAAGAACAAGGGTTTCTATAATTGTAAAGCATATATTTTATTTATATTTATTTGTTATTCGGTATTGGTTTATTTGATAGATTTATGCAGTGAACCGTTATCAGTTTCGTTTTCATATGTATATTGCCTATTTATTCTTACCTGTCACAAATATTTGTTGACTAAATAATAGTGTTTTTTAGGAACGGTACAGACAATGCAACCAGCTCATGCAAAGCCGACGACAGTGATGATTTTCCATACTTCATGTCCGAAAAATCTATTCTACATGGTGGTATAGTACTGGTTATTTTAATTGGTATTTATGGCTTTTCTTTGTTAGCTGTGGTGTGCAACAACTATTTCTTACCCTGTGTGGAAACTATTTGTGAAAAATTAAACGTTACACCAGTAAGTTCAAATTTTTGTTAACTAATCAGTTAAGTTTGTTTCACAGTTTTCATTGTTATAATTAGCTAAAGATTTACAAACAATTAAAGAGGAAAAGAGGTTTTTAATAATTTATATACAGGTATTACAGAAGATCACGAACATTTTATAATATGTGGCGATTTTCATGTCAAAATAGGAAAAAAACCGATCCAGCTAAAATGCACCAGGAAATTTTGTAACAATGAGTAGAAACAAAAAAACAAAAATTTCCTGTGGAAAAACAATGTATGCTTAATTAATAGAAGATAGACTTTACCATCACGTCCAAAAAACACGTAGTTACTGATGTTGGGCTAATGTTAGGAACATCTACACAGAACAACCAAGAATTGCTTAAACATTTCGAGAAAAAAATTGTAAGGAAAATATAGGGAGGAGTCCAAGAACAGGGTTTGTGGCGTAGGAACTACAACTTTGAGTTATACAGAAGTTTTGGGGAACCTGACGTTGTCAAATGTATTAAATTAGCACGCCTTCGACAGATAGGACATGTAATTAAGAGAGATGAAGATGCAACAATCATAAAAATTTTTGACCGAAGAGGACCAGTGGGAAGACGAGCCAGAGGAAGACCAAAACTTAGGTATCAAGATAACATAGATGATGATCTAAAATCCATTGTAGTTAAAGCATGGAGAAAAGTTGCCAGAGTTACGGGCGAATGGAAGATTGTTATGAAGAAGGCTTTGGCTCATAACGATCTGTGATGCCACTGATAATAATGATGATTGATGTTGGGCGGTGTTACCGTTAAACCTGAATAGGAAGAAAGGAGCTCAGAAGTTGGGTACTATCATGGGTAATATATATATTAACTATGTAACCAACAGTCGGGTGTTGTCAAGGACACAACAATGAGTTTTGAGGCGTGGGTCTACAGGTATTAGGAACAGGGGATACTAGTCAGAAAGAATAGAGAAAATAAATTATAATAACTGAAAGAAAATAGACAAAAATTAAACCAAATAAAAAAGAAACTGTTTAGTTTTATACCTCTCTGGTTTAAAATATAAGAAAATATGACAAATATGGTATATATTCTTTATATCTCTATTTTAAACCAATGTACATAATATATAGCCAAATAACAAGAAGCACTTACACTTATATTTTTTGGTCACTGGATTTCAACCTTTTTCCATCATATTATGGACTATAGACTACAGGTATACAAATAATATTCGAAATATATACGAAAATGCAACAATTTTAAACTGCCATAACTGAAATGGCGGCAGTGAGGCTCAAAGGGTAATAAAATCGTTTGATAAAAATTAAATCTTCTCCGATATGCCAAAAACAGACAACTTAAGAGATTTGGATTTAAACATTACTGTTATGGTTCTATTTTACTTGTTTTAGCTTTTTTGGCGTGTACATGATATTTTTTCGTTACAGTTTCTATTATTTCTACCGAAAATAGAATAAACGGAACATTTGACAGTAAACAATCTTGTTTTACCCAAGTTTTTAATTAATTTCTAAAAGAAATTTCGTAAAAAAAAACTTACTTTTATGTAATTTACAAATTCATTTCACAACTTTCCTGGTAAATAATTCAACAACTAAAAGTCTCTTGCTTCCTGGTGAATCGATTTACTTGGCAATTTATCAAGATTTTTCCACTTTTTAACTTTCTTGTTAAGTTAATATTTACTCGAGTATGACAAAGTGTTTCTATCGAAACCCAAAATTGTTCTTTAATATTAAAACATGATGGCAAATGAGGAAAGTGAAAGTTAACGATTTAACGTGTCGTTTATTTTGCAACCCTCATCCAGAAATAAGCGATTCAATTTTAATGTTTATTTTCAAATTACCAGATTTATTTTTTAGTTTTGAAACTACTTTATTTTATTAGGTGATGATTTTAAAATCAACCAAAAGGTTTTGTAATTTTTCATAAAATATAATTTTTATGATAAACATAAATTCTTATGGCTTGATATTGCTTGCTATATTCGAAATAATACCCGAAAAAATATACACGCGATTGAAAAAAAATTTAAAAAATCAGAATAAACACTTAAAGTCGAAGACCACTGGAATCAGATCAAAACCGTGATGCAAAAAACAATCAAAAAAGTATAAAAGTATAAAACAAAAGTATAAAAAAGTACTATCTATCTATACAGCCATTGGTGTTCAATTTTGGACATCGGCCTCCTCTTCCTTCTTTCACGTCTCTCTATTGTAGGCAGTTTGTATCCACTTCGGACCTGCGTGTTTTTTCAAGTCATCTGACCATCTCATTTGTAACATTCCTCTTTTTAGTTTGTAACTAGATGGTCTCCAGTGTATAATCATCTTATTTTATCTGTCGTCTTTCTGTCTTATGGTATGGTCAGCGAACTTATGCTTAAGTCTTGCTATCTGTGTTGATACATCGGTCACTTTTGTTTTGTTGCGCCAAGTATTTCTTTTCTTGTCTGATAGCCTGATGTTCAGCATTTGTTTTTGCTATTCTTTCCATGTTTTCCTTTGTAAACGTCCAAGTTTGAGAACTGTAGGTGAAAACAAGAAGTATACATTGGTTGAAGACTCTTGTTTTAAAACATTGGGGCTGTTTTCTATTTTTTAGTATATAGGAAAGTTTTCCGAAGGATACCCAAGCCAACCGTATCCTTCACTTTATTTCTCCGGCCTAATTTTTTTTATTAAATTAAACTAGTTGTCCCAAATATACATATTCTTTTACTTGTTCTATAGTTGTTTGTGCAAATGTAAATATTAATTATTCTGGTTGGTTGGTCATAATTTCCGTTTTATTATAATTCATTTGTAGACCGGTTTTTGTTAATTTACTATTTAATTCATCCATCATATTTTGTAATTATTCCCTTTTACCTGTTATTAATACAATAATAAAGAGATACAGCAAAGTCAATAAAGAAATCAGAAATAAAATCTGAGATGCAAAAGAAAAATGGTACTGTAGCGAATGTCTTGAACTAGAAGACAGTATAGATTTAATGTGTGTACAAATATGCAAAAAATAACTAGATCATATTGGTCAACTGCAAGTAGTCTACTTAATAAACAAGGAAATATTAGAGTTCATGAACAAGATGAAATGAAGAGGTAGGAAGTATATATTGAGGATCTGTTTGATGACGAAAGGGTAGAAATTCAAATAAAAAATATATCGATTAGTTCAAACATAACCTTCGATAAAATGTAAAGATCTACGAAACTATCAAATAATAGAAAAGCAACAAGGCCAAATCAAATTCTTAGCGAAACAATCAAACTTCTCGACTATAAAGATAAATATTCTCTTCTAAACCTTTTCAATAAAATATACGAAATAGGGCATTTATCAACAGAGTGGGTTCTGTCAACATTTGTAATATTACTAAACAAAATAAACGCTATACAATGGTTTCGGAAACAGCTTGGTTTCAGAAACTAACTTGAAACTCAAGAAGCATTATTCTCTGGATCAAGCATCATCTTTTGACCAGAGTACTCACGGCAAACTGATACGTTGCTTGCAACAGCAGGGAATTGATAACCAAGACCTCCGCATTATCAAAAATTTGTATTGGTATAAATGTGCCAGTCGGTCAGATAGCTCAGCGGGCTGTGCGGCTGCCTCTCATTCGCTTCACTGTCGAATGGTTCAGTGGATGTGGGATCGAGCCCCAGCTCGGTGTACAGAAAACAAAAAGTCTAACGCAGCAGTTTAAAATTCTAGATGAATCTGCGGCTTAGACTAGAATATACTGGGATCTGATCGGCCTGTGGTGGAGCAGTACGGCAAGAGATAAGGGCTTGCAGCTCGGTGTTACTCCTCCATAGATCCCTACCGGGCGGGCGTAACGCCTAAAAAACCGGATATATATATATATATATATATATATATATATATATATATATATATATATATATATATATATATATATGTATGTATGTATGTATATAAATGTGCCAACATACGAATTGGTCAAATCACGACAGAAGCCACAAATATACGACGTGCAGTGAGACAAGGGTGTATTTTATCACCTCTAGTTTTTAATGTCTATTCCGAATTTATCTCTAAAGAATCCTTATATAAAGCTGTAAATAAAGATAAAACTTTGTCAACTTTTGTTGTCAACAAAACGCAGTTACAACCAATAAAATTAGAACGCATGGAGTAAAGTTAGAAATGAAGAAAACGCATGGAGTCAACAATATTACTTATTTGGACGCCAACATTAACGATAACTGGGACATAAATAAAGAAATAAAAAGATGCATTGAAAAAGACTGGCCCGATTTGTATAAACTAAAGAAAATTCCCATCAATAAGAAAATTTTATTAAACCGTATAATCAGATTAATACTCTGCTACATACTTTCCACATTGATGTATGGTTTAGAGATCTATCAAGTAAGACATGAGTTACACCGAACGAGAACGAGTACAGAATTAAAAAAAACATAAAAATTTGAAGGTAGCATATTTCGTCTATGTAATGAAGCATGCATATAATCTTTCAGCTCAGGCTGAAGAAAAACATGCTAGCTACGATATTTCTAAAAGTGGTATTAAGATATATCCCTTAATCTGTTTCAGACAGCTGTAAACAAAGTTATTTTTGTCCATATGATTACCAACGTTTAATACTCGGACAGGTAACTAACAGAAAAAGAAGCAGAAGAAGAGAAGGAAGAAGACATTTTTGTGTAGTAAACATAATAATCTCAGACACTTATCTTAAGATTTTATAGTTCCTCAACCTTGCTTTACGTTTCGGATGCCTGTACTTCAAAAAGGTAGAAGTTATGAGTTTTATCTAGAAATGGTATGCGTATACAAATGGACAGAGGCAAAAACATGGATTTGCATCGAAAAATTAAGAAAGATAAAAAAATAATCAACACCCATAGAAAATAACTTTTACTATACAGTGCTTTTCAGATAAAACTATTCACCTTAAATAACTTTTAAACCTCTAATTTTTTAGAAAAACACGTCAATTAATATCTGAAGAGGGAGACATTATATCATACTTAAGGTTGCTGGAAAATGCACCCTCTCACCCCCTCTATCAACCCTTTATTTTTTTTAAATTACTTCACCATTTTTTTATTTTATATTTGGATTCTTCTTTTCGTACTGATTTCAAAAATGTATAATACCTTTAGCTTGAAGTGATTAGTTTATGAGAAGGACAATTTTCCTGTTAACAAAACAGTATCTCTCTCACCTTAATTGACTGTAACAAAATAAGTTGTAGCATAATTTAAACTTTTTAAATATTTAACAGTACTATTTGTAGTACTCTCAAAAACCAAGACACAAAAAAAATTCACTTTTTGTGCAAGTTTTATCAAAGGTTTTCGATATTATTTTTACATTTGTTTTAATCGGTTATAGCGACAATTTATTATAACTTGTAAGTAACAGCCTATTTTGATACGTGTGCAATTTGATCGCTGAAATGGTGTACGCTTTGCAAAAAAGAATCGAAATTGTAGGTTTATACTACAAAAATAATAATTGTGCAAGAGCTGCTGCTAAAATTTTTAATGAAACACACCAAAATAGACATGCAACTCATAAATATGTGATTGAACTGATGCAGAAAAATTTAGAGCAAGAGGGTCAGTTTGCAATAAAAAACATAACCGACAGGAACTTGTAAATAACGAAGCAATCCAAGTAGCTGTTTTAGGGCAAGTTAACTTAGACTCTTAACAATCACAGTCACTGTCAACAATAAGCAGAGCAATCGGTGTTTCATCTTCTACAGCCTTCCGAGTCCTCCATAAATTTAAGTTTTATCCATATAAAATTAAACTAGTATAAGAGTTAAATGAAGAAGATTTTGATCGTCTTCCCGAATGTTGCGAATTATTGATACAATGCATCATTAACAATCCACAATTGTTAAACAATATTTGCTTCTCGGATGAATGCTCATTCTCATTAAACGGTTTGGTGATCAGATATAATTGCCGATACTGGACTGAGAGTGATCCACATATTGTACGCGAATTTCATACACATCATCCTCAAAGGTTAAACGTATGGTGTGGTATCCTACGTGATCACATTATCGGACATTTATTTATCACTGAAAACTTAAATGGTGCATCGTATCTTGAATTATTTAGGCAAGTGGTTTATCGTTAGAACAATAGTAGAAAATGATGATAACCTTACCGATGATTTGGTTGTATTTCAACATGATGGAGCTTCTCCACACTTTGCTTTAACTTTGCGATAATTTTTAAACAAAACGTTTCCCGGTCCTTGGATAGGTAAAAGATGACAGATGATGGATTGGCCACCTAGGTCACCGGATTGAACACCCCTAGACTTCTTCTTATGGGAGTATTTAAAAACAAAAATCTAGATGATTTACAACAAAGAATACAGAATGAATGTCGACAATTAAATGCAGACGTGTTAAGCAATGTCAGAGAAGAATTTTAAAATAGATTGTACTATTGTATGGAAGTGAAGGGCAGTCATTTTGAACAATTATTGTAAAAATTTTTAGTAGTGAAATGTAAAATTGTTAAAAAATAATTTTTTTTTCAATCCAATTTTCTTGCTTTTATATTTATTTTTCTTATAAACTAATCACTTTAATCATCATGTATTATACATTTCTGAAATCAGTACAAAGAGGAGAATCCAAATATCAAATAAAAAAGGGAAAGTAATTAAAAAAAAATAAAGGGATGATACAATGGGTGAAAGGGTGCATTTCCCAGCAGCCTTAAATATGATAAAATGTCTCCCCCTTCAAATATTAATTGACGTGTTTTTGCGTTTTTCCTAAAAATTAGAAGTTCAAAAGTTATTTAAGGTGGATAGTTTTATCTGACAAGCACTGTATAAACATAGTGTGAGAGGACGGAAACTTTTACTGCTTGAAACAAAATAAAAGTTTTACTAAAAGGCAGAAGCAGTGAAGGAAAAAAATCTTTGTTGAAGGATTTCATGGATGCATTAGATTTGTCTTTTTTAAAACTAAAAACTAGGATCCCTACAAATAAAATCACAATTAGATATAAAAGGCAGAATCACAAATAAATAGTGCCTTTATAATATATGATTTAATTGAAATACATTTGATAAATATGATAAACTACAAAGAAACATTTAAAAAAAATAATTTTTGGTTTAAATCTAATAAACTGTTTTTTTTTTCATAGGATGTGGCTGCAGCTACATTTATGTCCATCGCTACCTCGACTCCGGAATTCTTTACAAATATAATAGGTACATTTGTAACGGAATCTGATTTAGGTATTGGTACTATTGTTGGTTCTTCCTTATTCAATGCTCTTGGAGTGCCTGCCGTTGGAGGTTTAAATAGCCCATTCGTAAGTACTGCTTTTGCATAACTTCATTTTTATTATAATATAAGTGATTGGTGACCTATATTGATAAGATTTATTACATTGTGTTAAAAATACAACTCCAAAAACAATAAGTAATATTTTACCATAGAAATTCCTCATAATTATTTCCATGGTAGTGCTATTGTCTGGATGTGCCGAAGCCAACGCAGCGCTGCTAACGCGACGACATTATCACTCGTATATCAGAGTCCTTAATGAAGTGAATAAATGACAATTAACATTAAATAACATAATTTAAGATTTCATTACAGTATGACCCTTATATTTAACCCCCCAAATTAGTTTAAACTAAAACAATGTCATTTATTAGGTTATACTTACCCTCAACTTTAAAATTGGACTTGTGCCTTTGCCGTGACATGGTTACTTTCTATTTTTTCAATTTTTCAATTTAAGCAATTTGAAATTGTTTAATTATACATTAATAATAAATTTAGATTTCTTTATTGTTTTAATACAGGTCCGTTCCCTCAGGGCGACAAGGAAAACTGCCGCAAGCGCCTCTGCAGTTCTTTCTAATGCGCTGGGTTTATGTACCAAGTGACCTCCACACTTGAGATTTTTTGGTAATGGAAAGGTCACGTGGTCGATAAGCCCTGACTATTAGAAAGAGATACAAGGACTGCTTTGCGTCAGTTTTCTCTGTCGTTCTGGTGGAATGAGCCTGTATTGCAGCGCTAAGTCTATTGTATTATATGTTTATAGCTTAGGGTAATAAACATAATCCAAGATATATTTGACATTGGATGTAAGCTTAACATATGTCAGTGTTACCTTAGTAGCCACTAAAATTAAATAAATAGGTTATTTATTATCTTATCATGCTTAGTCTATTACAGTTTATATATACAATGAGTGAAAAATAAATATATTATTGTTTTTCCCTTTTTAGACAATTACGTTTAAGGTTTCTAACACAAAACAAATTTACATTTAGTTTTTTATCACTAAATCTTACATATTTTTAAGCAATATTTTTGTTTTATTTGCAGCCTCTTCAATTGGACTGGTTTCCTTTAACCAGGGACTGCACTATCTACCTAATCTCTGTTACAGTCCTCATTGTTATATCATGGGATGGAAAAATCTTCTGGTTCGAAACATTAATACCCCTTACAGTTTACGTAACCTACTTCGTTATTATGTTCAATAACAAACGTATAGCTAAATTTGTCAAGAGCAAGATCCAGAGGAATACAGTTGAGATTAGTCCAGAAACACCACCAGTCAGAGAAAGCACTAACGGTGATATAAGAAAACTTAGTCAAATTGCTGAAAAAAAGTTAAGTATTAAGAAACACAGCCACGATGAAAATGACGCTCCAAAACACTCAATCATGTCAGCGTATGGTACGTATTTGGAAGGTGCCGATAATCCAGCGTTTGAAACGGAGCATCAAAGAGTTCTGGAAGCAATTCAGGAGGAAGAGAAAAAAGGTAAGTCATCAAACTTCAGGTTTAAGCGTTTAAGCAGAATACAAGCCCTAACAACTAAATTACTAAAAACGTTCATCTTCATAACTTAGCTTATCGAACCAAAGAACGAGATCAACAATACATAAAACTCTATCATTAATAACAAAATATTAAAATGGTTCGACCTTTATAAACTTTTAATTGCAGGGTTGGCAGAAATTCTTCTTCTTAACGTGCCTTATCCCTAAGGACATTAGTGATCACCATGGCCCATTTGACTCTACCTGCAGCCGTTCTGAAAAGTTGTATGGGCGTTTTCGCAGTCCATTGTCTCAAATCCGTCAACCAAGACGTGCGTCTTCTCCCCGGTAATCTTTTACCTTCCACCTTCCCTTGTATGATCAGCCGCGTCAATTCATATTTCTCGTTTCTTAGTATGTGACCAAAGTAGCTCATTTTTCTTTTCTTTATAGTGTTGAGCATTTTTTACCTTTTTTCATTCTTTGTAGCGTTTCTGCATTTGTTATATGTTGTGTCCAAAATATTTTCCACATTCTTCGATAACACCACATTTCAAAGTTAATAAGTCTTTTCTCTGTCGTCTCTGTAATTGTCCAGGCCTTAACTCTATATAACAGGACAGAGAACACGTAGCATCTCAATATTTTAGTTCTAATTTCAATGTTTAGTTTTTCATTGCATAATATGCTTTATCTTAATTAAAGTATTTCTAGTTATCTCAATACGCCGTTTTATTTCCGTTCTTCTGTCCCATGCTTCATTTAGTTCGCAACCTAAGTACTGATATCTGTGCACCCTGCCTAAAAGTTTTCCCTTAACATAAACACTATCTTTCTCAATCTTGTTCTTGCTAACCACCATAATTATTGTTTTATTTGTATTCAGTGCCATTCCACACCTTTCGCAGTATTGAGTAATGCGATCAACCAAAATCTGTAGTCCTTCTTTTCTGTCCGCAAGGAGTATTATATCATCTACGTATCTAAGATTATTCAGAATTGCTTCCTTAATAAACATGCCTTTATTTACGTCTTCTAATGCGTCTTTAAATAATTCTTCTGAATACATATTAAAAAGTAAAGGGTAAAGTACACATTATTGTCTCACTCCACGATTTATAGTATTTCTTTAGATTTTTTTTGGTTTATTCCTATTATGGCTTTTTAATATCGGTATAAATTGGTAATTATTCTCTCGTCTTCATCATATAATTCTGTGTTCTGCCGTATTTTTGCCATTCTTCAGTGTTGTACTTTGTCGAAAGCTTTTTCGAAGTCAACTATACATATAAATACGTCACAATTGACATCTCGATATCGTTCGATTAGTGTTTGTACAGTAAATAATGCTTCTCTGATGCCAAAGCCTTTTATGAATCCCAATTAGTTTTCAGCTATTCTATCATCTAGCTTTTTATAGATAAGTTTGTGTATCACTCGTAAGAACACTTTTTGATAAGGGTTCATCAAGGCTAATTGTCCTGTGCTCTTCACACTTCATTGCGATTGATTTTTTGGACATTGGAATGAATATTGATATTAACCATTCTTTTGAAATCTCTCCTGTATAATAAATGTCAATAAATAATTCTATTAGTGTGCCCATAATATGATTTTTTGTTAATATTCTTAAGATTTCTGTAGGTATTTCATCTGGTCCCACGGCCTTCTCATTTTTTGTATGTTTTAGAGCTTTCTTAATTTCGTCTTTGATGATTGGCGGCCCATTTCTTCCTCTTGATTCAATGACCTCAATTTTCTCGTCGTCTTCGAATAGCTCTTTTATGTATTCTTCCCATCTGTTTATTTTATCTGTACATTCAGTTATTCTCTTGTTATTTTTAACCATGATATTTCTGATACCCTTCTTCTTTTAAATGCTAGCTGTCTCTTTGATTTTACGGTATATTAAAACGGTCATATTATTTATCAAACCTATTTCTTCACACTTTTCTGATAGCAACAGTTCCTTACCTTCTTTGATTTTCTGTTTGATTATTTTATCAATGTTTTTGTGCTGTTGTTCGTTTTTATTCTTGTGTGCCTTTCTTTCCGTCATCAGTTCTTTTAGCTCTTGTGTTTATATTTAGATGATGTGTGTTCTCAAAGCACAATAAACAACTTGATCTTCGGACAATTCAAGAAATTTGGATTTTTACTATTTTAATATGGAGTTACATCGCCAGGCACCTTTATATCTGCGACAATTCTATGTAGTATTGTTTATACTAAGGATTTACACATGTCAGGGTCGAAACTATCCCATAGTATACCTATTTTAATTCCTTAATCGGCGACGTTTCTATGGGGATCATTAGACAATTTCTGTTTTATCTTTTGCCATAATGCTTCAATAGTATTAAGGTATAGACTATTCAAAGGCTATGAGAGTACTTGATTGTTATTGCCTTCAAACCATATTTAAGTTGTTTTGGCTAGATGGCATGCAGCCATGAAGTCCTGCTAAAGATCATGATACAAGACTATTTTTTTAAATTTCTTAGTACCTTAATTGCTGCGTTAATTGTGCCTTCCACCGCCCTTAAAACATAATTCCTTTGAGACACATCACAGTTAATTTTTAGGCCTTTTTGCAGTGATTTTTCATAAAGTTCATTCAGCATTAAATCCAGTTCTTGTCGTTTCGAGGAGATCAGGAGTATATCATCCGTATATCTAAGGTGATTTAGGTATTTTCCGTTAATACATATTCCTCTGTTTTCCCAATCTGTTGATTTTATTATGTCTTCGAGGGTCAAAGTAAACAGTTTAGGTGAAATTATATCGCCTTGTCGGACTCCTCGTTTAACTTTTATATTATCCATTATTTATATCCAGAATTACGGTCATGGTTGCGTTTTGGTAAATATCATGTATCAATTGTCGGTATCTTGAATCTATTCTACTATTGACCAGAGCTTCTTCAACCGCCCAATGTTCAATGCTGTCGAAAGCCTTTTCATAATCTACGAATGCTAAGTACAGCGGAAGGTTGTATTCATTGGTTTTCTTAATTAAGATTTTAAGCGCATGTAGATGGTCGATTGTGCTGTATCCTTTCCAGAATCCGGCCTGTTCCACTGGTTGGTAGTTATCAAGTTTATAGGTTAGTCGGTTGTTTATTATTCTTGTGAAGGTTTTATATAGTAGTGACAAAAGGGAAATAGGACGGTAGTTGTTTAGGTCTGTTCGGTCTCCTTTATATTACAGAGGGTAAAAATATCACCCTTTGAAATATCTAAAATTTTAAGAATTTTTCAACCAAAAGAAGGCCAAAATTATCTACACCAACTACTATCAATCAAAATTTTCATCATAATCTTTTTTTTTTAATAATTTACGGTAAAGTAGAAATCAAAACGTCAAATGTTAGCTAAAAATGTAATTTTCATTACGATCAATTGTGGCCTAACCTCATATCAACATTATATTTAACGTAGAAACGTCACAAGAAAAAGCAGTTTAAGAACATTTAATTATTTAAAACGTGCTTTTTGCTTTGTTTAATTTGTTATCTCTACTGTTTTTAGAGGCCAAGAAATCAATATTTAGGATACCAACAGGAAACATTTTTAAACAGTTTCTGTTTTACTATACTTGGCCAATTAAACTGATTCTGCAGTATACAGTTCCCAATCCTCAAACACATCCCAACTGGTATCCTGTTACATTTTTGATGTGTATTGTGTGGATAGGAGTCAATTCTTATGTTGTTTCGTGGATGATTAGTATTATTGGTAAGTGATTGAGTTTAATGAATTTTCATAATTTGGTAATAATTAGCTTAGTTTATTATATTTTTTACTTATCTATTATTTGTTAATGTATAGGAAATGAGTCTATTCTCACAGTAAGTAAGTATTAAGTATTATTAATTAAGTAGTTGTTATTATAGTTTCAATATAGGCTACCAGACTCGAGGCTTACAATAAATGCCCAATCATCAGGCCATAGTGCATATGTCTTTATTTTAACAAAAACTAAAAGATATTGGTCACACGACGACACTACACATCTAGCCTCTACTCCAGAAAAAATTACTAGATTATTAAAAAAACTCGAGGTAGAAAGTGCTAAATTTGGACTCATGGTTAACTACAACAAAACCAAAATCATGGTTATTGATCGCCAACAACAGTTTCCTGAAACCCAAACTATTGCGGGATGCGAGGTAGTCTCATCTATGATATATCTTGGAGCTCTAGTTAACAACACAGGCAGTTGTGAATCCGAAATTAGAAGACTCATTCAACTAGCAAGAGCAGCAATGAGTGAACTAAACGGGGTCTGGCGTGATCGTCACATTACTATGACAAACAAAAAGAGACTCGTTTCAACTCTGGTCTTTTCCATATTTTACTATGCATGCGAGACATGGACAGTCAAAGAATCAGATCGACGACGTATAGACGCCTTTGAAATGTGGACATGGAGACGCCTGCTTCGAATTCCATGGACGGCTCGCCGTACAAATGTCTCGGTTCTGGATGAAATTAAACCGGATCAACGTCTCTTCAGTACCGTTTACCCTGGAATTTTAAAGTTCTTTGGCCATATCCATCGAAGTGATCACAAAATGGAGCGGTTGGTTGTCCAAGGAAGGCCTCAGACTCAACGCCAACGCGGAAGATCTCCACAGCGATGGGCGGACATTACTAAAAAGCTTCTCAATAAACAGTATACTGAGGCAATACATATAACTGATGACCGCGACCAGTGGAGAAATATTATCAATCAAACTGTCCGAGCTGCTGAAGCCCAATTACGAACCACAACACATCTACTAAGATTTTAATGACTGTGATGATGAAAAGATATTGGACTCAGAAAGGCTCTTATAGGATGTGTATAAAGACCTATGTACTGTAGCCTGAAGATGAGACACATATTGTAAGACTCGAAACCGGTCAGATATAATTCAACTACAGTAACTACTATTTAAGATTGTGAGCATTGACTCTCTCCTATACATAATATTATGGGCTGACATTGGCAACCTTTTCATCATTTGTTAACTGTCTATCTTAAATAATTTACCTTACTTTTGTAAGTAAACTTCTATAAAAGTAATTGACATCTATGTTGTATTTTAGGTACAATTACCAAATTACCTGATGCACTGTTGGGTATGACTTTGATGGCAATTGGTGGATGTTTACCAGAAACAGTTTCAATGACAATCATTGCTCGAAGAGGTAAGTTTTATATAAGTATTGCATTCTCTCAACCAAAAGAAATGACTGTAAACTTTTATATACCTAGATAACAAAAAAGAAAATGTTCACAGTTAAATTTATTATACTCTGAACGACTAGTTTCGGGCTATACAATTTCAGCTCATAATCAGGTCGCTGATACAAAACAACTATAAAGAGAAAGAAGCAATACTATCTGTTATAGGTTGTTAAGTATAAATTACGACAACACTACGCTTAAATGAGCAAAATTTAATAATATTAAGTAAAATACAATTTCAGTAAAACCAAATCACTATGCACAGTAAGTTAAATTAGTTTTTACATAATTTATACTTGAAAATCTATAAGAACTGTTGCATTTTCACCCTTTTTTAGTTGTTTTATTGGGGACCTGAGATAGGCTGAAATTATGGTAATAAAACTAATTGCTTTAAATCAAGTAAAAATGGACTTACAGCTACAAACAATTCATTATTATAATTTGTTTCATGTAATAACCAATCGATGAATAAAAAATAAACGTTATAAGCCTTTTTGTGTTAAATTGCTCATCATATTACATCAAAACTTTGCGAAAATATTTCTTAGTAAACTATACCTCTACGTTATTAAATAAAACCAACATTTCTTTATTAATAACACGGGCATAAGTCAGGACTATAAGAAAGGCTGTTTTAAAATTTAATACTGCCCATCAGTTCTTACATTTTCTGCAGCATATGCATAAAATTCAGGAGCATTTTAAAAGACACATATTTCTTGGACATTTACTCTTGATGCTAATAAGCGTTTATTATACGACAAGATTTATTACCATCTAAGATCAACATACAAGTTGACGATTTGATTCTGAATCACAGTAATATACAATTACTAGTGACATTTTGGTATAATGAACTATTATTTTTTTATTAAGATTATCATCATATTTTCACTTTTAACATAATTATTGCAATTCACTTTGATCTCTTCCAATTTATTTGTCGCGGGGAGTCCCTACACAATAATCATATGTAACTCATGACGATTAAATAATTATTGTTTAGAGTACGCTATATGTTTAACGGAACATATTTTATTACCGTTACTATGTGTTTAAAATACCAAACAAAAATTCATTATTTGCTATTTTTAATAAGACTTACTCACAATCAATTTAATTTAACTATTCAGACGACCGGTTTCGCATTCTACAATATGCAAAGCATCTTCAGGTCTCGATACAAAGTTAAATAAATGTTGAAATAATAAAAACTCATATTAGGGTGTTGTCTAATAAGGATAAACAAATTATATGTTATAAATTACAATAATTATGCCAATATTATATGTCTGTGGTTTTTCAAAATAATTAAAATGAATAAAAAGGTATAAAAAGTTTAAACAGACAAGGTAAGGCCCACAAATTGTTATAAAATAGTCTATTAGATTGTAATAAATTAATAAATGAGCAAATAAATAAACATTACTTACATGCCGGTACTCTATTAATTGATGGATGGTAGAACATGGTTGAAACTATCATGTATTGTTGAATGGAGAACTTAAGTCTGCTATTGTATTTGTTTGACAGTAAACGGGAAGTTCTTGAGGAGATAGATTTTATCCAATAAGGTAGAGATAGGATCTACTAAGGATAATAACATTATCATAAGAATAATTTACGGGAACGGTCTTTGACCTCAAATATAAAGGGAATTTGTGGATAGGTTTAACATTCATTTAGTTAGCGAATTTTTTGGATTATACAAACGAAATGCTAATACAGTGAACATTGACAGTTCGTTATGAGCCATTGGATTCGTTTTAATAATAAAGTTGTCGATTCATCCGATTTCCATAATAAAAATAGACCTTTACACCGGAGACATAATTAGAAACGCCAAAGGACTATGCATGATTTGTAAACTCAAAGAACCAGGAGTATTCATCGGCAAAATATACCTAATAATCTATTCAGGACATTCTTGGGCTATGATGACGAAGACGCTTCCAAAAGAAGGTTGTTTATGATGTTTTCTGTCATAAAGATAGTGCTTTCCTGTTCGAAGATATACTTGTAGCGGACGAGTTTGGGAATCTCTTTTTCAGGGATAGCTTTGGGGATACTTTTAGATGAAAATGGAAAAACGTTTTAATATCGAAAGTAAACGCAGCGATTAGTTTTAGTAGATTAAAAAGACGTTGTAGTTTTTGGAGTTAAAATGAGGGAACAGGAGGACGCACCGGAATGGCGGCAATTTTGGACCTACCAATTCGTTTCTTTTACGTGTATGCTTTTATCAATAATTTTGCTGCATAAAATTTATAGATACTTGAAGCGTTGTACCTCTTAGAAAACATATTAAGTTGATGCACGCTTTTTGCGATACGTGTTCAATTTTTTTAATAGTCAAAGGGTGTAGGCAACTCCTCTGTTATTCAGTAAAAAGATGTGAAATCCACGAAGTGACAGCCTTCTAATAATAAAGATTAAATATCTGGTATCAACATCTGTAGGTCTTCATACTAATTGTCAACATGTGTCGTTGTAGCAACACGTGCATATTAAGACAATCATTAGAGGCTCTCTTTCTTCTTGAAATTGTTAGTACCATTTATCCCTTATGATTATATAAAGGCATATAAAGGTTTTCATTTAAGGTTTCAAAAGTTTTCTAAGACTGTAACTCTCTTGAATTTGCTTCCACTCAATATAGGACAGTCTTGGTGAGAAAATTTTCATTTTCGACACGCCACCACCCAGTTTCTAATAAGAAAGATCTTGCGGATATATAATGTATTGCAAAATATAAAATTCGGTGTTTTTTAGATATATGTATATGTTGATAAAACTCAAAATCACAATTGCATGTTATAGGTTTTAAAGATTAGGCATGTAACAATAGAAACTCTATAGCGATCGGTTAATGGAAGTCATAAATTTTTTGACCATATGAGAATCGTAAAAAGGATAAAAATCGCGCAACGTTTATTCACATTCTCAGTAAAATTCAGCTTGTTCGTCTTGTTTTCCGAGATCAAATCTATGACGATTAGACTATATACCACGCAACCAACAGAATAATCCAATATTTAAACTTAAAAATCTTATTCCAGTCTCATTTTGAATTTATGATTAATTTTTTAGCCTTTAAATGAACATATTTTTATACAAAAACTTTATTGAATGCGCTAGACAAATCCTAATTTATTTCAAATATAAAATCGTAGTCGAAGCAATTCATCGTTATTTCCTAAAATTAATATTAATTTTTTAGAAATAATGTGTTTTTTACAACAATTGTTTTATTAATTCAGCATTGTCATTGCCTCAAAGTCGGTTTTGCTACACTGAAATATGTATGAATGGAAATAACAAAATACGGATATAAAACCTCAAACGTTATTTAAGTAAATATTTTACAACAATAATTATTATTTTTATTGTTTTCTTGGCAGAAAAACCAGAATAAATGATGCCTATAAAATATAAAAAAAAAACGCTGAGAATAATACTACCGCAAAAATAAACCACAGAATTTTCACAGTTATTAGATGCTATTTTGGGCTTAATCACATTATTAAATCCTCAATTATATCGTGACAATAAAAAGGTAAAACTGTACAAAACAATAATAAGCAAATCTCTAATATATAGTTTAGAGATCTAGACTCTAACAAAAAGTAGTGGAAACATTTTAAGATGTTTCGAAAAAAAAAAAATTACTAAGACTATGTATGAAGCAAAGATTGACAATTGAGTGTGGAAAGACAATACAGCTTCGAACTTTATAGAATATACCATAAAATATATCTCGTAAAATAAAGTAAGATAGGACATCTGAGGTAAATAGGGTATGTACGTGGATGGAACAAAATAACCCAGCAGAAAAACGCTCTTTACGTGGATGGAACAAAATAACCCAGCTAGAAAAACGCTCTTTAATAGATTTATTAGTCAGAGAAGAAAAGGAAGACCTGAACAAGGTTCTTTGAAAAAATCGACGAAGACATGAGAAGTATGGGAATACGTGCCTTGGCAAAGGCAATAGATAGAAACGACTTGAAAAATAGTTGAAAAAAATATTCTATGACATATAACAGTAATATGTACGGTATCTAAATTTTTGGAGTAAGAATATACGAAAAAGTCTTATACAAGTTTTACAGTCGAACGCGCTTATTGAAATAGTCCTCGTGACAAGGAAGAATATGTCAATATCTGGGATATTCTAATAACAGATATGTTGGTAGCTTTTAATAATAAATATGTCAATAATGCAGTAGAGTAATTATTATTTACTTTATTAAAAAACCAAATAATAGTTTTTGTGCATGCATAAGAAAACATTACAATGTACCTCAACCTTACATAATAAACGGGATATTTTAAAAGAGATCAACAAGTTCAAGTACTTAGGAGGTTGGACATATAGGAGTCTAAATTCTGCTCTAGAAAAAAGATCGAGATAATAACAGCAGAAATCGTGACTGTTACTTGATTCTCGATAAACTCGAAATTCGACACATTTATCAAAATGTTACGTCTGGTCGACTCTTCTCTATGCAGTTAAAACGTGGACCCCTAACACATCAACAATAAGTAAATGAATGTCTTTGAAATGTAGATCTACTGGAGAATCCTTAAGATTTCATGGCGTACCTCGCACAAAATTGTACTGCAGAGAATAGGAAAGGACTTTTCAAAATAAAAAAAGTTAGAAGTTAGGCAGATTTGTATACTTGGACTCCCTGATAACCAACAATAGCGATAAAATATGGAAAGGCCGAGCAATAACAAGAAATACTAAGCTCATCTTGGTCAATGCTCTTATTTTTCTCATTGCTACATACGCAGCTAAAACATGGTCACTCAAAAAAAACCGAGTAAAATAAGATAGAACCCTCGAAATATGGGCCCATAAAAGAATTCTACGCGTGTCCTGGACAGAACAAAGAACCAACATGTCAATTCTGCCTTTCATATAAAATAAAGGCTATTAAAAAAAAACAAGCATACCTAATTTGCTTCGGCCACATAGCAAACGAACGGGGACCATGGAACTATTGGTAATAGAAGAAAAATATAAGGATGAAGATCAAGACGACGATATCCAACATGATAGACAGACAAAATGAAAACTCTGGTTAAAAAATCTCTACATAAAGCAGTTCATATGGCATCGCATCCAATGAAAGCAGCAAACCAATAATATTTAGAATGTCACCACGCCCTGACAAGGGCTACAGGAATCAAGAGGAAGAAAAGTTAGAAAAATATCATACCTAGGCACATACTGAGAAAATAATCTGAGAAAATAATAAGTATCAATATACTCAACTAATATCAAAAGAGAAGATCAGGGGAGAGAAGATACTAGACAGTAAAAAGGTTTGGATTAAATGGAACATAATGCCAAAAAGAGCATGGAATCATTACTTGGTTCTGTATATTGTGATTAGCAATTTTATGGATCAAAAAATAACTCCACTGGAAGCAATCGTGAAATCAGATCAATCATAAAGATTGAATAAAAGATTCTATGACAAATGTGACTAGATTAGCCAGTTCTTCTTCTTCTTCTTCTGGCATCATAACCCTGGATGGGTCTTTGCCTGTCTGGCTATGTCCTTCCATTCAGATCTCTCTTGTGCCCTTCTTCTCCATTGTCTTATGTTCATTGTTTTCAGGTCGTCTTCCACGTCATCCAACCATCTCGTTTAGGCCTTCCTTTTTTTGCCTTCCTATGGGCTTCCATTGTAACATTTTCTTTGTTGTTTTTTCATCGTTTTGTCTCTGCACATGTCCCAGCCATGACAGTCTTTGACTTTTCACAAATCTTACAATGTCATAACCTTCATTTAACTCATTAACCTCGTCGTTTCTCCTGATTCTCCATGTGCCATCTTCCTCTTGTACCGGGCCATATACTTTCCTCAGTATTTTTCTCTCGAATGTCCTGAGTTGGGCTTCATCTTTTTTCGTCATTACCCAAGTTTCACATCCATAGGTTACTACGGGTCTAATCAGTGTTCTGTAGATAGTCATTTTGGTTCTTTTGTCTAATAATTTCGATGTCATCAATCTTTTATTAGCATAGTATGTACGATTCCCGCTGAAAATACGTGCATTAATTTCGCTACTTACGGATTTCTTCTGATTGATTTCTGTGCCGAGATATGTAAAGGCATCCACTCGTTCGATAGTATAGTTGTCTATTGTGATATTATTTTCATTGTCAGTTATTCTTTTGACTGTCATAATATACTTCGTTTTTGCTTCGTTTATTTTGAGACCTCTTTTTCTTGCTTCAGGATCAATTTGTTTGAACACTTCCATTAGTCGTGGCTTATTCCTACTAATGATGGCTAAATCGTCTGCATATGCAGTAATTTGTACTGATTTGGTGTTTATATGGCCGGTTATATTGGTTTTTCTTATTACTGCCTCAAGAACTAGGTTGAATAGCATGGTTGATAGGGCATCTCCCTGTCTTACTCCCATGTTGATGTTAAATAGGGGAGTCAGTTCTCCATCTACTCTGACTGCGGCTTTTGAACTATGCAACGTCATTTTTATGAGGCTGATGTATTTCTTAGGTATACCTAGATTACAAAGGTCTTCCAGCATTCTGTCTCTTTTCACACTATCAAAAGCTTGTTTAAAGTCTATATACATATTATATAGGTCTATGTCGTATTCATAAGCTTTTTCTTGTATCGTTCTTAGTATGAATATGTTATCTGTAGTGGCTCTATTTGGTCTGAATCCATTTTGATAATCACCATATATATCTCCTTTTTTATATATTGGCTGTATGAGGCCAACTGTCCATTCCTCTGGCATTTGCTCCTTCGTCCATATTAATGGTATTAGGTAATGGATTCTTTTCCAGAGTTCGGATCCTCCATGCTTTAATAATTCTGCCGAAGTTCTGTCCGTTCCTGGTTCTTTATTGTTTTTAGTTTATTTATTATCTGAACTACTTCATAACGTGGATTTTTGATTTGCAGCTCCGCCGTATAATATATTGTCTCGTTCTGATCATATTCGTTGTCTGCATTTAGAGTTTCTTCGAAATATTGTTTCCATCTCATTATAATTTTTTGCTTCTCTGTTAGTAGTTCTCCGTCCGTGTCTTTGCATATCGTTAGTTTTGGTCTAAATGACTGTGTGCTTTCTTTTATGCATTTATAGAATTTTATGCTTTCGCGTCTGTTCTTTCTAGCCTCTCTTTTCTTTCTTCTGCATATTCTAGTCGCCTGTATTCTTTTTTCATTATAAATCTCACTGCTATTTCTTGTGTTTTTTTGAAGTTGGTTAAGCCTAGCGTGCCTTTTTCCTCTACTGCAGTTCTGCATTCATCATTATAACATTCCGCATTTCTTTGCCTTTTGGCTTTTCCGACAGTTTCGTCTGCTGACTCCGTTATAATTGTTTGTAATTGCCTCCATTCCTTCTCTGCAGTATCTTCCTTTCTAGTTCGTTTTATTTGGAGAGGATTTCTGTAATCTTGTTTCTTTGTTGCGCTTTTGAATCCTTCGACATTCCATTTTTTTAGCTATTAATAATAGATTAGCCAGTAGACAATAGTAATTTAGCACATATAAGTGGGCACAGTTTAGCACGTACAAGTACATTGTGAATCTAAAAACTTAGTGAATCTAAAATATACAACACTGGCGTATCCTAACTCTAAAACATCGCAGAATGCGTGAATCTCGACTTTAGGAGATTTACTAAAGTCGAAGTATCGATGAATTTAAATGTTCGCAAAGTCAGACAGCTCAGATCAGTTCTTGTATGTGTCTAATATAATTGGGAATTTATGGATAGAAAAATTAACCCAAGTGAGCGTAGTATCAAAACAAACATGAAGATCGAATAAAAGACTTTTTAACAACAATAGTCGACTATATCAGTCAGCAATACGGCTGCCAAGAGTAAAATCTTGCGATAGGTTGTCTTGTGTAGAGGAGCCACTTGAAATTTAAAACATACAAGTGAAGTTTTAACTTGGTTGTATATGTTCAGATGTTTTATAATTCTAAGATACATTGGATTACCACAACTGTTGTAGCAGACGTCTGGCCAGTATAAGACATCAAAAAATCCACTAGGAAACTAAGTTCCTGTAGCTGACTGTATACCATGTATCACAAACAATTTTTTTATTTAAAATCCTTTATAAAAGGAGCTATCAACGTTGCTATCAACAGGTCCTCGTAGACACTCTGTGTCAGAATCAAGTAACCTTATGTGGAGTCATACCTCGCCATGTTACCAATTCCAATGGTAACTTGAACATCTTAATTTTTAATAATTCATTTAACAAAAATTTACATTAATAACATTTAACGGGTTTTTACCCATATATTGTAGTGGCTTAAAGCATGTATATTTAGTTACACTGATGATGGAATGTAATTTTCGAAAACGTTCAGTAATTGTGATATAGCCCTTTTGGATATTTTATTATATACCTTTTATAAGTGATTTTAAATAAAAAAAATTTCACATAAAAAAATAAAATCAAAAGGATAGAAAACAAAAATACGACATATTTCAAAAATAATAGCCTGCTTTGTACAAATTTTATTAAAGAGACAAGAAAAATAAAACACAAGATACGACGTCAGTTGTAGAATCCCATTTTAGATCTAGCACCATAATATTGAAAGGTTTCTCTTTCTTAAACAAGTAACATTTCAAAATATCTGAGCCAAAACTTTGAAATAGACGAGATGGTTTATGGCGCATTTTTCGAGCTCACAAACGTCGAGCTTAAGAGCTGAATGAGCTTTAAGCGCTAGCGCAGAGAGCAAGTAGATGAAAGAGAACTACTTCCTAACAAGCCGTCGTCAATGTAGAAAATGTCGCGTTGGTACTTATGGGGCAGTAAGAAAGCATTATTCTGCTGAATTTGCTGTAGAGTTTTAAAGTGAAATAAGATGAGAAGTGCCGTACCTACCGGTGCTTAAAACATGTTCTGGGGAAGTTTAGAAGAATCTGATCGCCAAAGAATTCTTTGATAATTCCAAAATTCTTTGTTTACGTTCATTTGTCAATACGGGTGTTTTATGTCGCAAATCAAACAGTAACGAAAATATTGAAAATTAAGTAATAGAGAAGACATGTACTTTTAGGACCAATATAAATTTGTCATTTAGAGACACACCGTCTAAGAGACGAATTAGACATTTTTTACTTGAAAAAAACTGCGTGATAAGCAGAGTAATAAGAAGTAGTCGATTTAAAATCGGATTCAAAAACAGGTATCATTAATTGGGGGAAGGAATACAATCCGCCATGAACTTAACATATATTTCTGTGGATTCGGGATTTTTCCTGAAACGATTCTACTGTCAAATTAGTTATCACGCAGTATAGACAAATTTTTAATAATTAACACTAATAAATTTTTAATTAACTTTTTTGAAAACCATTGTCGGATTAGAAGTTAAAACGTTCAAGTAAAATGTAATTCTGTTTACAACCAATTGTAGTTTAATCCCACATAAAATAATACTTAATCATAATTTTAGTTTTCAAAAAAAAAACAACAAGAAAAAAATTATGGTGCATTCGCAATTTTTTATTCAAACCTTTAATAGTATACTATTGAACAATGAAAAAAAAATAAACAAAAAACTTAGACCAACATGTTTTGACTATAGTTTAAATTGTTACATCTTAAAACAATCAGATAAATAAAATATTAAATATGTAGTAAACTTTAGCCGCTGCATTTTATTTTTAATATTATTAACATTTTTTATTTATTTTTTAGGGGAAGGAGCCTTTGGAGTATCCAACTCGCTTGGAGCGAACACAATGAACGTCCTATACTCACTTGGTCTTCCATGGTTATTCAAGAACATAATAATGGGTCTATCATCCGAACATCCTATAAAAATCCAATCTGGTTCCATCGAATATACCATCATGTCTCTAATTTTTGCAGTTTGCACTTTGTATATAGTACTCTTATTTAGTAAGTTTAGGTTATCAAAAATTTCAGGCAGCATTTTGGGAGTATTCTACGTGAGTCTTGTAGCTCTGGCTATAGTATCTCAAACGGTACTATTTAAACAGGAATGCTGATAAAGTTTTGTGATAAGAAAAGCTCAACTGATGCGTAGTACAAAAATATTTTTCTAAGAAAACAGTGTCAAGAATGTTGCTTTTAAAATATTTTGTAGAGTTAAATGTGATACATTATGGCTTAAGCATAGAAGTTATAGTCTGACCAACTGTCTAAGAGATTAATTATTAATATTTATTCTTATTTATTGTTGATAAGATAATTACCATATAAGAACGTTATTTGTTGCCAATTGGCAATTTTGTCATCTCTCCTTTCGATTTCATCCGATAGCTATATCCCATCCTTCATTACGGCTGAAGGCTGTTTGATTATAGGAAAGTTTCGGTAATAATTCTTCTTTTTTAATAGTATTATTTTTTTCATTCGATTTTAAATCCCTATGTTGGACTAGTTATATGAGGCAGTTGTGTCTGACTTTATTTAATGCCTTATTGTAGTCTAAAAAGCAGATGTACAGTGATTAATTCATATCCATGAATCTTTTGATAAACACATTTAACGCAAATAAGGCTTCTCTTGTTCCAAGAGCATTCATGAAGTCAAATTATTGTCGCTGATATCTTGTTCCAGTCTCTTAAACATTTTGTTTTGAACAATTTTTGAGAATATCTTAAATGAATGGGTCATAAAATTAATCGTTTGATGGTCAGCGCACTGTCATGCATTTGGTTTTTTAGGTAATGTGATAAAAGTAGACTTTAACCATTTTTTACTACTAGTTCCTGCGTTCTGTACAGAGTTAAACAAATCCACTAGTACCTAATATTCCTCATTAATCAGTGTAATTATATTTGCTGGTATGTACTGATGACTCTGTCTGTGTTTCAATTTGCGTTCAGTAAGTTTTCATTCCATCATCTTCCTATTGGGAATCGTCTCTTGTTGCTAATATGGTTTTTGTCATCTCTTTCAGGTCGTGTTTACATTTAGGTAACCTGCGGCTCTGTTTTATGCATTTGATCTTGCACTTCTGTTTGGAGCTTTCCGCAGCTAGATAATGTGATGTCTGGATATTTGAACACTTGTTCTATTATCTGACTTTCCAGGTAAATTAACGTGTCAAATTTTCTGGTAGATCATCTTCACTTTAAGAGAGTAGTATTGCATCGTCTGAATAACAGATTATTTTAAGTGGTTTTTCTCCCATTTGGTATCCTTTTTTAGTTCTTACATTTTTAACCATATTCAGGTAGAAGACTAAGGTAGAGGTTAATGTTATTACAGTCATTCCGCGAAACTGCATAAGCCGCGAAACTAGGTTATGAGTCAATGAAAATGTACAAGAGACTGGCTCATTAGTGGATATTAATACAGTTAAAATATATGTTAACGTCTTAACTAGATTTCAAAATATTTATATGTGAAACATTACATATTTGGTTAAAAAAAATCATAATGACTATAAATATGTAATTAGCCATGTATTTTTATCTCATTTGGTTTAACTTTATGTATTTTTTTAATATATATATATATATATATATATATATATATATATATATATATATATATATATATATATATATATATATATATATATATATACATATATACAGTGCTTTTCAGATAAAACTATCCACCTTAAATAACTTTTGAACCTCTATTTCTTTGGAAAAACGCAAAAACACTTTAATTAATATCTGAAGGGGGAGGCACAATATCATATTTAAGGTTGCTGGAAAATGCACCCTCTAACCCCCTGTATCAACCGTTTATTTTTTTTTATTACTTCCACCTTTTTTAATTTTATATTTGGATTCTCCTTTTTGTACTGATTTCAGAAATGTATAATACATGATACTTGAAGTGATTAGTTTATGAGAAAAGTAAATACGAAAGCAAGAAAATTGGATTGAAAAAAAAATATTTTTTAACAATTTTATTACACACATTTAGAACAAACATTTCACTACTAAAAATGTTTACAATAAATGTTTACAATAAATGTTCAAAATGGCTGCCTTTCACTTCCATACAATAGTACAATCTATTTTGAAATTCTTCTCTGACATTGCTTAACACGTGTGCATTTAATTGTCGACATTCATCCTCTATTCTTTGTTGTAAATCATCTAGATATTCTAGTTGAGTAACATAATTTTTGTTTTTAAATACTCCCATAAGAAGAAGTGTAGGGGTGTTGAATCCGGTGACGTAGGTGGCCAATCGATCATCTGTCGTCTTTTACCTATCCAAGGACCGGGAAACGTTTCGTTTAAAAATTATCGCACAGGTAAAGCAAAGTGTGGAGAAGCTCCATCATGTTGAAATACAACCAAATCATCGGAAAGGTTATAATCATTTGCTACTATTGTTCTAACGATCAACCACTTGCCTATATAATTCAAGATACGATGCACCATTGAAGTTTCCAGTGATAAAGAAGGGTCCGATAATGTGATTACGTAGGATACCACACCAAACGTTTAGCCTTTGAGGATGCTATGTGTGAAATTCGCATACAATATGTGGATCACTCTCAGCCCAGTATCGGCAATTATATCTGTTCACTAAACCGTTTAATGAGAATAAGCATTCATCCGAGACGCAAATATTGTTTAACAATTGTGTATTGTTAATGATGCATTTTATCATTAATTCGCAACATTCGAGACGACGATCAAAATCTTCTTCATTTAACTCTTGTACTAATTTAATTTTATATGGATAAAACTTAAATTTATGGAGGACTCGGAAGGCTGTAGAAGATGAAACACCGATTGCTCTGCTTATTGTTGACAGTGACTGTGATTGTTAAGAGTCTAAGTTAACTTGCCCTAAAACAGCTACTTGGATTGCTTTTTTATTTACAAGTTCCTGTCGGTTATGTTTTTTTATTGCAAACTGATCCTCCTGATCTAATTTTTTCTGCATCAGTTCAATCACACACTTATGAGTTGCATGTCTATTTTGGTGTGTTTCATTAAAAATTCTAGCAGCAGCTCTTGCACAATTATTATTTTTGTGTTATAAACCTTCTTCTTCTTCTAGTTCCATGACCGTTATCGATCGTTGGATATCATGTTGGCTACCATATTCGCTATCGTGACCTTATTGACAGCAGCTCTAAATAACGATGTAGTTGATTTTCCATACCACTGCCTTAGATTTTTCAATTATGATGTTCTTCTTCTACCAGGATCACGATTACCTTGGATCTTTCCCTGAATGATTAGATGTAAAAGATCATATTTTTCAGGGTGTCTCATAATATGACCGAAGTATTCCAGCTTGCGTTTCTTTATTATATTGACCAGTTGTGTTGTTTGGTTCAGCCGTCTAAGGACCTCCTCATTTCTAACTCTGTCGACCCAGCTTATTTTCAGTAGTCGTCTGTATACCCACATCTCAAAGGCTGTCAAGCGTTTAAGCATAGCCTCAGTTAGGGTCCACGTTTCTACTCCATACAGCAGGACAGGAAATATGTAGCAAGATATCATACGAACTCTAAGGTCAATGCTAAGATCATGACAGGTTATCATCAATTGTAGGTTATAAACCTACAATTTCGATTCTTTCTTGCAAAGTGTACACCATTTTAGCGATCAAATTGCACACGTATCAAAATAAGCTGTTACTTACAAGTTATAACAAATTGTCGCTATTAACCGATTAAAACAAATGTAAAAATGATATCGAAAACCTTTGATAAAACTTGAATAAAAAGTGAATTTTTTTGTTTCTTGGTTTTTAAAGGTACTACAAATAGTACGGTTAAATATTTAAAGAATTTAAATTATGCTATAAACTATTTTGTTAGAGTCAATTAAGGTGAGGGAGATACTGTCTTGTTAACAGGAAAATTGTCTATCTGATAAACTAATCACTTAAAGCTAAAGGTATTATACATTTTTGAAATCAGAACAAAAAGGAGAATCCAAATATAAAACAAAAAAAGAGGGAAGTAATTTAAAAAAAATAAAGGGTTGATACAGGGGGTGAGAGGGTGCATTTTCCAGCAACCTTTAATATGATATTATGCCTCCCCCTTCAGATATTAATTGACGTGTTTTTGCGTTTTTCCAAAAAATTAGAAGTTCAAAAGTTATTTGAGGTGGATAGTTTTATCTGAAAAGCACTGCATATATTCCGATTCTTCTTTACGCATTAATGTTGCTTTGATATGATTATATTTATAATTCTCGTTTTAGTGGTATGATCTTATGTAATTTTACTCCTATTTACGATATTTTTAATTCACTTATTCCTTCCCTCAAACATCCTCTCCAGTCAATGCCATCTTCATCATCCTGCCAATTTAAATCTTGCAGGTTACTTTTTCTATTATTTTCTAGCCTTCTTTACCACCAAATGATTTTCGAGGTGTTTCTTTGCTGTTCAGTCTATCGGAATTCATTCTCTTGATTTTTAAATCAAGCGTCTTGCTTTCAACCTTCTGACTTTCCTTTAAATAATAGATTATATCAGAGATTATACCAATACGAATATTGTTATTTTTAATTTTCCTATTCTTTATTATTCTCAAAACTAAAGCAACAAGATATCCAAAACAACTAAGATTTTAGATGTTAACAGTTGATATTTTTAAACGTTTTCCTTTTAATGCTATGTATTATTCAAATCAATAATATAAAAAATCTAGTTAAGTTTATTGGAGGCAAAATTCAGCTATAAGCTTTCAACAATTGTTTGTTACAATATTTACAGTTTGTGAAACATAGAAATCTTGAGTTGAGATGTTGCTTTACCGAAAGCAGGGAAAGAAATAAAGAATCACTAAATTTTGTATAAATTTGACGTTTAACGATTTGTCGAGTTGACTTTCTTTCATTATTTTTGAATTGGTATCAATGACAAAAGAATGATCCTTGTTCACGTGAGGTCCACTTTTGTGGAAGAAAACTTTTTAAAACTTTTATTTCGGTATTTCTTAGCATCAGGCGGTCCGATAAGTAACCTTAACCCCTCTGAAAAGTACGTTTTCTCGAGGTCTGTAAAATAGGCTTTCGTGGCAGCGATGACCTATTCATTTGACTTTAATTTCTGCCCAGCGAGTGTCTTTTTTATGTTTGGAAACAAAAAGTAGTCGCTCAGAGCCAAATCTGAAGAATACGGTGGATGGGGCAACAGTTTGTAACCCAATTCGACCACATTCGTCGTGGCGACGGCAAAGATATGAGCAGGGGCGTTGTCATGGTGAAAGAGCACTTTTTTCTGCGCAAATAAGGTCGTTTTTTCTGCATTTATCATTGAATCGGCCCAATAATGCAGCGTAGTAGAGCCCTATAATTGTTTTGTCTTTATCCAGATAGTTGATATAGATTACCCCTTGTGAATCCCAGAAAATTGTGAACATAAATTTTCCTGCCAAAAAACAGTCCTCGCCTACTTCGCAGCACGTTCGCCGGGTGATGTTTACTGTTTCGACTGTTCTTTGGTCTTTGGTGTATACTAGTAGATTCATGTTTTATTGACGGTTACGAAACGTTGTAGAAACTCCTTCAGTTCACGCTTAAATATCGTCTAACACTGCTCTGAATTAGTTTCATAGTTTCCCCTATTATCTGGAGCAAGTAAACGCGACACCCATCGTGCCGGCAGCTTTCTTATCCTCAATATTTCATGCAGAATATGATATAAGCAGTCTTTTAAAATGCCTACTGTCTTAGCTATCTTGGGCATCTATAGTCCGCGGTCTGCCAATACGAGGTCGTGGATTTTCTCACGTTATTCTCTGTGGACACCGTGGCGTGACTCACCAAAAGCCAAACACGTTAAAACTCTTTTTAACCAATTTTTCACGGTTGCCCCATCAAAGGAAAAGAGTCACCTTACATAGCATCCAAGCGCTCTTTGATTTCGCTGAATTATTTCTCTTCTAGAAACAGGAATCGGATCACCGACCGATATTGCTCTTTTTTTATTTTTATAAAATCCGCGGACAGGTTTACTTTCACGCGCGGTAAAAACAAAACTATGAGTTCGATTTGGCCGAAATTTTGACATTAGTCGTCTACGAGGTATGTATTATAAGATAGTAAATTTTCCTTGAGATA